AAAAAAGTGACAGCAAAGAGTCTTACAACTTTCTTACAAGTTGCAAGCAATGGTTGCACTCAATTCTTAATCGTATTGCTCAGTTTCTTCCAGTCGCCAGGTTGTCAGCTATTCCGCTACACGTAGCTTTTCACCCAGTTACCTGATGCACATGTGCAGAGAGCAACAAATGGAGACAGAATCAGTCGCCCATTGTGTTTACAGAATTAAACAATTAAATAAATCTGCCTCACATTAATCAAGCTCACTCCAGCATCCTGCTGCTGCTAAACAGTTTAAGTGGAAATGGAAGAGTGAAAATATGACATCAACTGAAAGCGAGTGGACCGGACTCCACTGGAGCTAGTTTGTTTTCTGGCATGTGCACCGTCCTTCTCCTCACAGGGAGATTTAACTGGAACCAGCTGGAAGATTTGCTTTAATAGCAGAGCCCAGATCATGAACGCTGAAAACATCTTTACGTCTGCGTAGAGGAAAGCGGTCATTCAGAGCCCCGCCCACGGGTGTTTACCTGAGAAAGCCTCCTCAAAAAGCAAACACTGAATTGAACTCAATAATGGCAGCTGTTTCCAAAGAACAAACTGATAGATAAAAGTTACGCTGAGTCATCGCTGTTTAATGTCAAGTGAGCTTGAGTCAAAACAAAGCGGGGATGAAAGTGTGTGTTCAGATACGTCAACACACAGTGAGGCAGTGGTTGTGTACAGCTGTTACAAGCAACTCATAACTAGAGTGGAAATGAAAGGCTGCACATGGACATGTTTCTGTCTAACACTAAGCTCCACACAGTAAACCTGCTAACGACCAAAGTGGTTCATTACAAAGAAAAAGTGATATTTTTGTATTTCCTGATAAAGGACGGCTCCTGTTACTGCTTTTAGCTTTATGTAACCTGTGCATGGATGAAAAGCAGTCAGACACAGCTCTAAATATAAAACTCTTAACTGCCTGACAGTATCTGTACAAAGTCGTGAATCCTCCTCTATAAATGTCGTGTCTTTAATTCCATGAAAACGGCCGACCTTTATTTCTCCTCTTTTACCGCTCAGATGGGAGTACATCAAAGTATTTCTCCGTGACATGAAAAATATCACAACTATCAAGACTTCACAAATTTCCGGGGAGATTTGTCTCTTAGACATTTCGTTACAAAGAGCAGGTATTACTTTCCTTTAGATGCAGCTAAAGCAGATTTATGAGGACCGGAGCAAAACGTGGACTGAACTGCTGAATTAAGTGGAGGGGGCTCTTCTATGTTCAGCCATGCGTTTATGAAGTGGCTGTTTGGTCTCTCCGATGTAGAGGTCTGAGCATTCCTTGCCACACTGTACAGCACACACTACGAGTTTGTGCTTAGGAGTTTTGTCTTTGGGATGAACCAGTTTTTGGCTGGGTCTGAAGTACACGGGGATGTCGTGTTTGGAGAAGACTCTCCTGAGTTTCTCTGATAAATCTGGTACATAGAGGATGACAATATTGTTCTGATTGTCT